AATCTTACATAAGAACAAATTCACAGCGAGTTTCATCAAAATACATCGTTCCATTCTCCCGCCATTTTAAAAAAGATAATTTTTTTGAATAAATTTGACTATCAATAGCAGATGAGCCAGACAAAGGATATCGCAGTACCCTTTTGATCATGAGCTTACGGGACACCCTGTATATAAAAACGCTACATTTTCCATTGCAACTTGACAGCATTGCACATGGTACTCAAATAAACCACATAATTTAATACCCCCAATGAAAAATTTGCAAAGTTTAAGCAAATTCTGCAAAGAGTTAATTGATACTGTATAACAAATACTATAACCAACCAAATAATCATTGCTGATTTTAATATGTTACTTAATTATAAAGTTGAAGCTTGCATTTGTTTAGGTTTCTGCCAAAATTTCTGTTTAAAACGCATGTTCAATCTCCCTGTAACTCTGGGGGGGGGAATTTTATTATATAGGAAAGTTGAGAATGATTTTTCTAATAAGACTTGCTGTAATAAGACAACTAATATATTTTGATCTGAAAATTGTGGATCTCTAACTTAACGAAATCCGTGTCCCAGGTGGTTGTAACAGAAAGCTGTATGAAAAATTACCATACAAACCGTTTGTTGCCGACTTGATGCAATGCGATAATGTACGATTCTGAGCTCAGAAAAAACCTGTATACTTGTGCTGATACGCGGCATGGCTCTGATGATGTTCATGAAATGTTCAAAAGCTTAAGCTCCATGATGTTCAAATTGCCGTGAAAACAATGTATATTTTCTAATAATTTAATCGCCTGTCTTGCTATGTAATCGATCAGCCACATCCAATAAGTCAGATTTCGTTCACAGCTTCGCCATTGGCGGCGCAACTATTATTATTAGCCACTTCGCTCGTTGTTTGATGACTAGCATACAAAATATGTTATTTCGAATTGTTTTGAAATTCTTCAGCATTAAACACTTGATAAATTCAAATTTTAAATATATTTCTTAAACGTGGCGTACGTAACTTGTAAGCAACTGGATTGGGTAGTCGTTTCTATTTTCAGCTTGCTTCAGAAAGCAGCGGAACTCGATGAAGGTAAATTTTTCAAAACACAAAATAGAATAGAATTTAAATTGCTTTTACTCGTGAGTTTAATTTCTATAGCATTATCATCAGTAAAAAGGATTAAATGGTTCATTTCCATTTATTAATATTGCATGCACTCCCGAATCGAATATCATGGGTCATGCACCGCCACTGACCTTATCCGTTCGTAAACTGGCAAAAAAAGAACAATCTAAAAAAGCAAAACTGTCTCGCGCTGATCTGGGTTCGCATATGGGCATCGTTCAGCTGCTGCCGGCCACTTCTTGTAAAAAGTGATTTGCTGTCACCAAAGAAGGTGATGCGTCCTCAAGGTCGGCCCGGTCGTGGGTGACCGAAGAAAACTGGTTGGTTCTTTGGTGGCTCTTCGTATTTGTATGGAAATCTGACCGCTTATATATCACAATAATTGCTATATTTGTTGTTAGGTCGATAATGACATTGTTATGCTCATTTAATCGTTATGAAGCTTTGTGTGTATGGTCTGGTAACCAGAAATGAGACAAGGACATAGTTCGCACCTTGAGTTTACGTATTTTTCTAGATGGATATTTTGCATCTGAAATATATTTTGCTTCCTTTCAATGTCTTAGGCTCTGGTATTTGTATCAGTAATTTGAAGTGCAAAAGTATACAGGGTGTGTCCGGTAAGCAAATGATCTGACTCAACCTGATGAGAGGGTACAGCGATATGATTTAAATCAAAAGAAAACGATCTGACTCAACTTTTATTAAGAAAAACTGCCTGGCTCCTCTGCTATTGATGGTCAAAGTTCTTTAAAAAAAGATCTTTTTCTTAAATATTGGGAGAATGGTACAATGGATTTTAATGAAACTCGCTGGGAATTTGTTCCTATGTAAGACTCATCTTTCACCTCAGCTATCTAATAAAAAGTTCTGGTAGTTTGCTTACCGGGACACTCCTGAATTTACCACTTGCCCAAAGCGGATGAACTCGGTTGCTTCATAAAAAGCTGAGTCTTGTATACATAAGAATAAATTCTTCTCATTCAGTTGGTCTCTATTTGAGCCAATGAATGTCTCAGTGCTTTTTTAATCGTGTGCTTAGGGAACACCCTCTATCTGCAAATATAATCACATGAAATCAAAGGAATCGTTAAATCAACTGATAGGTATAGATTAGAAAATATGAAGAAATCCTTATCTCCTGGTAAGTCGAATAATCCAAATCTGGCTAAACGTCTGCAGTAAATTCAAATATTTCTATTGAAAAAAATTGCAAGGGTTATGATCTACAGAATATGAGGTGTAGCAAATGAAAAATAAATTTATCACTCTTCCAATCATGTTTAAAATATGTTGCTAGAGAATTTTTGAGCACACAGGCGGCTTGGCGTTATCGTTCATGAATTGAGTCGTTTTCTTTGAATGTGGAAACAGTTCGTTGAAAAGGTTTTGTCAGCAACGCAATCTGCCATTTACTTTTTGTCTATTAACAATTTGTGTAAAACATGTTTAAAGTGTTCAACATTTTGTCATTGTGTAARYTTACCATTAGGAGGAAACATAAAATTYAACCMAAAAAAATTAAYATATAGTTTTTCTACTTATTTTMTTAAGTCCGMTCAATTCAATTTTCTAAACATTATCAAATACATTTAACATTATTCTAAACTCATCTATAATTAACATTATCTTGAGCTGCTGTGCCACAATTACAAAAACTAATCTGCTGCTGCTGTGCCACAATTACAACTTTCTAAACAATATCAAATACATTTAACATTATTCTAAACTCATCTGTAATTAACATTATCTTGAGCTGCTGTGCCACCATTACAAAAACTAACCTGACTGAATGAAAATTCTGCAGTGCGCTAGAAACCCACCAGGTAATAACTCAATTAGTACCTGAAATTGCGACGAAAAGATTCTTTATGAGGTCACGACCAAAGACCTGATCAAACTGAGATTTTATTTGAAAATGATATTTCAAGAAAAAGAGCGAGAATGGCTAACTCCAGAAACCTCTACCAAGAGCTCTGCTTTTGAGCTATCCTCGTAAAAGGCTAGGTGAAGACTTGAAGCACATAGAGAGTCCACTCTGGAAGATGACCCTGATCCATCCTCAATAACTTTTTTTGTATTAGGCARCAAATCGTAATCAATCACCAGCAACATTTCAGTAAACWGYTACGCACTCGTTGAGAGTAAAAACAGAAAAAAAGTCGCATAGTCGCAAAACAGACAAACAATGGTCAATAAGTTGAAGAAAATTCTAACCATAGAAGAAGTGCAATTGGTGAGCTTTGTTTGATATCAGCGCTGTCCGTTTAACATTTGTTGACTCTGAAACATAAAATAGACGCTGTTTTAGGTCAAAATAATATTATGGAGTCGGTACTGAACAAAATTATTTGTGGCTGAAAAGGGATTATACTTGAAGAAAAACGCTCAAAAGAACCAAAGAACATGCAATAASAAMTGAACAGTTACWTTTTTGGTGCAAWCCAGAACCTATTCTTGCCGMCTAACCGAAGTGTTTGTTTATATCYMTGTTTAAAAATTGTGTCAATTAAACTCTTATTAATCTACGAGAAGAAACCTATCTWTATSAAAGTTTTATKCAACTACCATATACAATTACTTAAACGCTAACAACATCTGTTTTGAAGGAATCCGTAAGTGAACATTGCTTCGGTAATTAAGAAATTCATAACAACAGCACTTTTTCATGAGATTGAAATATCCGTCATACTTGATTGATGTGCAGATGTTTTAAATAAACACGTTATATTTACTTTGCATAAGAAGTGTGGTGTTGCTTTTGGCGGAATTATATCACCTTTTATCTATCTCTTCTATGATCTGCAAAAATATGTACATTTTGCAAAACTTTCTCCGGATTTCAAACCAATAACAACAACTTTAAACTGCAATTGTTTTGCAAAGTTGAAAAGTTGGAAAACTAGATCAGCAACCTAGGCTGAAACTAGTTTTGTAGACACACGAAATACTGTCATCAGATAGAGGAGGAATAAAATATACCTTATTGGAGTTGCAGGAGATATTGACCTTTATCTATTGCAAACTCGTCGAAGTGCTGTTGCTAACTGATTAAAAAGGCTTGAGTATTTCTGAAATAAACGATTAATTAATAAAACATTAGTAAGGAGAAAAATATTTATTTAAAATACGCTTAATTACTTTCGTTTTTATTGAAAATAATTTTATAAAGTACAAATCCTTTCCTTTTTCCTTTCATTACATGAAATCATCTCTGAATTAGAGAGGGCAAAAAATTATGTATCGAGTTCTCCTGTTTCCGCCAGTGAAGAAGTTGTAATATTTGCTGGTGGAACGGATGCTTTTGAATATGCAAAGGCTGCTTCTTCAAGTGAAATTAATAAAGCTGCAATATATTTACAAGACTGTTAAACTTGCCATTCGGACAGAAATATTACACAATGAGACGCGACTGTTATAAAGTAATCTAATGCGAAGCGAAACTTTCAGATGTACTTTCGGACATCAATAAATGATTAAGTTGGAATAACTTACATTATTATTTTGACTTGACATACAGGGTGATTAAAAATTGGCGTCATTCCTTTTAAGGGGTGATGGAGGCTCACTTGGGGAGTACGAGAAAAATATTGAAAATTTTTTTCGAAAATTTCTAGAAGATATTAACAGTTGAAGATCGAATTTCAAATTTGCTATTAAGCATTATTTTGAAATTTTTCCATGTTTAATTGGTAGCATATTAGAATACTTTACGTATTGAACATAATCGAATCAGGGCCTTCCAGAGGTGGTCAGAGCACAATATACTATTTTCCAAGCACCAAATAAATAGCGAAGAAGGGCTACATTCCTACCACGTTTGTACGATACACACAGCACACGGAGATACAAATGGAGCACGAGTTAATTAACTGAATACGAGAAGCTGCTTGATAAGCTGCTTGATAAGGAGATTACACAGGCACTAGCTTGTTTGGAGTTAACCATTCAAATATTTGATGTTGTATGGTTTATTTCTAAACACCAATATTCGAGGTTATGAGAACAGGTTGAGATTTCGAAAGTACGTTCCGTCATTCAACGATTTCTGTTGAGTTGACCGTTTATCCTTGTCTATCTTATAGTCACTCTCTATTTATCCATGGTTACCGGAATTTTAAATAATTACGAAGCAACAGGTATTTGCGCAATGTTAATTAGGCAGATTACCTTGAAAAACATTGCTGC